GGGAGAGGGAGAAGCAGACTTCCCGCTGAGCAGGGAGCCCAGTGCGGGGCTCGATCCCAGGATCCTGGGATCATGACCTGAGCCGAAGGCAGATGCTTAACGACTCAGCCACCCGGGTGCCCCAAATTAATAAAATCTTAAAAAAAATAAAGACAGTTCTCAGTGGCTTTTGGAAATCTCCACCAAGTTGTTCGTCAGGTTAAAGACTTAAACGAGTAATGCAGCTTATTTTTTCTTCATAAAAATGAAATTGATTTGCATCCTAACAGACTGCACTTCTCCACTTCTCTCTTAGGGCTCTTATCTTCTACTCCTTCTTTGTTAAACTGTTTGAGCAACAGGTATTTTCACTGGACCTTAATACCTTCTGCTTGCCTATCCTACACACATGTTTATTTTATCATTTGACCTTTCACCCCCCATGGCTAGAATCTATATGCTTGCCTTTGACCTGATCCTATTTCCTACAGGACTGACTTTCCTGAAAAAGAGTTCGTGATCTAGCCTTACAAAAAATGTGCCCCATTCCACCTTCCCCAAACCATCAACAGTTTTATTCTCTATCTCAGCAGCTCATATAGGGCCTGACATTTCTGAAGTACTGAATAAATTTTTTCCCAATTTATGAGTAGATTATTTCCCTTAGTTGTGTTATCATGTTGTCTTCCTTACCTCCATTTTGTGTATCATTAAGGCTGCTGTTATCTTCTCTGTTACCATAACCAGACCCTCAGTGCTTAACTATGCCTACCTTCACTGTCTGGGTACCTTCTTTCTTGACCGTCTGCCTGCCGCCTTTCCTACTTCAGCCACATTGCAAGAACCTTTTTCCTTAAACATCAGAGAGATTTCATTGAAACATTTATTCATGAGCTTCAGGGCTTATTACCATTAGTTTCTTGCTATCCTCAGTTACCTTCTCCTGCTAACCATTGCCTAATACTCTGATTTAAACAAGGAAGTGGAGCTGTCTGCCCACCCCCACATCCAGCTCTCCCCTGGACCTTTGAGTAGCTTATGCTCATCGCCTCCCCTGAACTAAGTTATGTCTAGCCCTTCTTTCAGTTTCTGACTGAAGACTCGCCTTCATAAACCTCTCAGACCAATCCCACACGCTCAGACAGTCTTTGCTGACCGGAGCCATGGGGACAGCACAGCCCTCTTCCGTTTTGTCTCTTACACTTCTCTGGGCAGGACAAACTTCTTTTGCTCACACACCTCAGGTTTCAGTGTCTACTGTGGCTAGCCCCTGAATCCAATGCTAGGATACAGAGATATTTTAGAAATAATGGATGGCCATCACTTCCTCCAAAGTGTATCTCTCTAAAGTTCATACATTAATTTTCTTAATTCTGTAAATAGAAGAGATTTAGTAGCTCTTTGAGAATTAAAGTACTTTTACAAGAAGTCTTGAGCATCCTTAAATATTCCAAGTGATGCATTTTTTTCCCACCTCTAAATGAATTAGATAAGTATCCAGAGATGTGTGTTCCATTCCGATCTGTATGGGATCCAGAAACCTAGAGTTTAACTCCTCTCTTCTTAGCATCTTTTGTATGTTGTTGCTGTGATGTTCATAATTTCCCTCCCTTCTGCATTTTCAATCCATTTAATAACTTACAGATTTTGGTGACCAACTTGGATTTCCACGACGAGCAGAAGCGCCGGAACCTTAATGGGACACTTCATGAGCTCCTCCGAATGAACATCGTCCCCATTGTCAACACAAATGATGCTGTCGTGCCCCCAGCTGAGCCCAATAGTGATCTCCAGGGGGTAAATGTGGGTAAAGTATTGCTAAGGGTTGAGCATGCTGGAGACTAATGCTATGCTGCATGTACTAACACCGGAAGTTTGGCATAAACAAGATGGAGAAATTGGGACAGAAGCTGGCCTCACGGAGCAGTGGCTGCATAAGCTCCTCTGAAGTCAGGGGGGTCTCATTGAACAGGGTGAGGTGCTACAGTGATTTCAGGTGGTGCTGTGAGCATGGCTTGGGCGTGGCAGTGGAGCGAAGGGTGCGTGTTTGGAAATGGGGTGGCCAGTAGGCACAGTGTTTTGCAGACAGAAGGGACCTATAAAAGCTGTCATCCATGCACTCGGTCATTAATTTTGCCTGCCAGAACCTAGCAGAATGCTGTGAACACCTTGAACTGCCCAGTTCACTCACTTTTGACTTTTTACCTGCATTCCAGGTTATTAGTGTTAAAGATAATGATAGTCTGGCTGCGCGTCTGGCTGTGGAAATGAAAACTGACCTCCTGATTGTTCTTTCAGATGTAGAAGGTACAAAGTAATGCCCTTTCCTTTTATCTAACCTTTGCTTTAAATACTAAATGGGTGAGCACATGAATTCCCCTCTTTGTTTGAGTCCTTTTGATTTTTTTTTTTACTATGGACCATTATTTTCTGATCCATATGGTCTAACAAAGGGATTTTATGGCTCAAAAGAAGGTGAGGGAATCTGGGAGATGCAGTTTGAATGCTAAAATGTTGTCATTTCCAGGCATTTCAGGTTTGTTTTCTTAGAACAGCCTCATACAGATATAATTCAAGTACCATATAGCTCACCTATTTAAGATTTATCATTCAGTTCATTGATTTTTAGTATATTCATATAGTTGCTCAACCCTGACAACAATTTTAGAACATTTTTATCACCCCAGTAGGAAACCCCATACCCATTAGCGATCACTCCTCACTTCCACTCTCCAGCCCCAGGCAACCTCTCGTCTACTTTCGGTCTCTATGGAGTTGCCTGTTCTGGACGTTCTTTCAAAGTGGAATCACACAATATGTGTGCTAAATGAAAGAAACCTCTTTCTTTCATTTAGCATCATGTTTTCAAGGTTCATTGGTGGACGTTACAGCATCTGTCAGTACTCCTTTTCTTTCTTTTTTTTTTTTTTTTTAAAGTTTTTTTTTTTTTATTTGAGAGAGAGAGAATGAGAGAGAGCACATGAGAGGGGGGAGGGCCAGAGGCAGAAGCAGGCCCCCCGCCGAGCAGGGAGCCCGGTGCGGGACTCGATCCAGGGACTCCAGGATCATGACCTGAGCCGAAGGCAGTCGCTCAACCAACTGAGCCACCCAGGCGCCCTCCTTTTCTTTTTATTGCCAACTACTACTCCATTGTGCACACGTACCACATTGTGTTTACCCGTTCATCAGGGGATAGACTTATGCTGCTCTAACATTCATGTCCACATTTTTGTGCGAACATGTTTTTGTTTTACCTAGGTGTAGAATTGCTGGATCATTTGGTAATTCTATGTATGTTTAGCCTTTTGAAGAAGTGCCAGACTGGTTTCCAAAGCAGCTGCATCATTTTACATCCCTGTCAGCTCTGTATGAGGGTTCTAGTTTCTCCACATCCTTGCCGACACTTACCTCTTATAATCTGCCTTTTCGCTGATAGCCATTCGAGTGAAGTGCTATTTCATTGTGGTTTTGATCACATTCAGTTTTTAATGTAAATCATGAGACTGATGATATTAAATTGGAGCCACACTGCAGAAGTCCAGGCTATGTGGCCACCATGGTCCTATATGTTAATCTATTCTTCCCTGCTTTTGCCTTCCTCAGAGGGGTCCCCCTTGGTTCACTCTTCTCACTCTCTTAAGCTGTTCCCATTTTACATTTTGACCCATAAGGAATATGGTAACTGTGTCTAAAATAGGCCAAACCTAACAGGATCCCAAAAGGCCCCCATTACATTCCCAGGAGATCAGAAAAACCTATTTTGTTCCCAGCCCACACCCAAGGCAGGCTCCTTTGGCAGGACTTGTTTTCCATTTACACACCCGTGGTGTAAGATTAAGAGCAGGGAGCTACCTAGTGGAGGCAGGGGCAGATATAGATTGATTGAGCTGTCTTCTGCCCATGTGGGAAGTCTGATATATCATACATATGTATCAGTTTCTTTACCGGCAAGAAGTCTTGGTACCATGTTTATCCACTGTAAATTTGAAATCTCAGTACAGGAACAGCTAGGTTGGGATAAGAGTGAGCCACTCTAGAGAAGAATGCTTTTCAGTTAATCAGCAGATATTTATTAAATTTCTACTATGCACAAATACTGTGCTAGGTGCTTTATAAATGTCAATTTTTTGAATCCTTATAGCAATCTTGCAAAGTAGATAGGTTAGCTCTGCTCTTCAGATGAAGAAATTAAAAATTAAGTTCATACCAGTTAAATGGTATGTCCAAAGTCACACAGTACTTAGCAGAAGCCGATTTTAAAACTAAAACTGTTCAGTTTAAAAATCTGTACTCTTCCCTCTCTTCTAGGCTGCCTGGCAAGGTAAAGGACATGAGTTTGAAAGATCAATATATAAAGCCCAATTTGAACTAGACTCTAGTAAACATTTTTAATGCAGCCTCAAACACCAAAATTGGTCATCAGTGTGATAGCATATATCAGTACTTTTCTTGTTATTGCCAAATAATATTCCACTCTGTAGATATACCGCATTTTAGTTGCCCATTCATCATTTGGTAGACATTTGAGCTATTATAACTAACCCTGCTATGAACATTCATGTACATAAAACAGGCTTGGGCTATTAACCCTGATTAGTTATCCACTGAATGTTGATTTTTAGCACAATTTTAGAATTTTAAATATGCTCTTGATGGGTTTGAGAAGCTGCCATAAGGGAAAAAGAGGAGTAGGCAGAATATCAGAATGCTAGGCGCTCCTCAGTGTCTCTGGAGGTCTGGCTTAGAATTGTACAACCTTGCCCATGCTGTTTTTGTATGAAACCAAAACAGCCTCACAATCCAAGTTTGTGATCTCATAGCATAGTGCCTTCTGAGAAGACTCCAGCCCTGAATCCAGGAGCTGTGGAGTGCTGGGCTATGGTGGACAGAGGTTGTGAGAGGTGGTTTTTCTCTCCCTGTAATTGCTGCCATGGTTAGCCCTGCTTCATTCTATACCGGACACCGTATTCCTCACTCCTCTGATTCCTTTCTCCCAGAGAGGACGTTTATAGCAGGGTTGTGTTAGAGATTTGGAATAATGAAGCAGAGAAGGCTGTATTTTCACACAGGAAAAGCAGTAACTTAAAAACATCACTGCCTAGATGTCCTTGAGCCAGTCCCCAACCCTGGGCAGTTCCTCTCTGTGTCCCACTAAGGCCTTAAAGTGATTCCATTTTCACAGACCCATGACTTTTCTTTCCAAGCCTCCAACTTGCTCTTTTTACAAGTGAAATTGTGAAGATTTTTAATCATGGATTGTATGCATATAACATTTCATGTAATTCATATTTTATGTTATTCTATTCAGTTATAAAAGGGACATATGCTTTGTGGTGATAAATCCAGACTGAATACTGAGTCGTGTGCTCTTCTGCTGACTCAGCCTAACCTTCACATTGGCTTACCCATAATACGGAGAGTGTAGTCAGTGGCTGTTTCAGAGGGTGCTGTGAGAGTTAATGAAAACCTGTCTCCCATTTCATCCCACTTGGAGATAATCACATTATAGTATACAGCTGCTGTGTGTTTTCTGCAGTGGCTACTCGTCCTTTTCAGTTACTCCCTTAATTCAGCATCATAAGTAGCAGTGGCAGAAGTGAGGACAGCTTCCCAGTAGACAATGGGCAGGGCTGGTAAGTTTTGTGCTAAGGATATGGTCATGCCATGATGCTGGCAAGCATTCATTCATTAAGCCAGGTTATAAAAGTATGTAAGGAGAGTCCTCCTGTTGCTGATTTTCAGCATGGGTAGACTGTACAGATCCCTTCTTCCCTTTTCTGGTTAGAGCTGGTAGAACACAGAATTCATTTCATCAGTCACGTACAGAGTGGTTGGCAGGTGCCCAGGGCGTCTGTATTAGGGGACACTCACTTCCATTACATCAACATTACTGACTCCTGTCTGCTTTTTAGGTCTTTTTGACAGTCCTCCAGGGTCAGATGATGCAAAGCTCATTGATATATTTTATCCTGGAGATCAGCAGTCTGTGACCTTTGGAACCAAGTCAAGAGTAGGAATGGGTGGCATGGAAGCCAAGGTAAGGGTTTGATGCTTTTACTGCCTATAACAGATATAAAACCAAACAGTATTTTACCCTTTTTACTTTGTGAGTGTTTGGGGACTAATGGTTATGATACTAAGCACATACGTACTTAAATGTGCACATCTAAATATGGGTTTAATGCATATTGTTTACCTATGTTTAGTCATGTCTGTGTATGTATTTTCTTACCAAGATTACATAATGCATTCATGCTGTAAACTTGTGAAGGGCAGGGTCTATATATTTTTAATAATTCATAAATCCTCTAATGTTATCAGCTCAAAAGTTTTTTTTTTTTTTAAGTAATCTCTACACCTAACATGGGGCTTAAACTCACAACCCTGAGATCAAGAGTTGCACACTCCACTGACTGAGGCAGCCAGGTGCCCCAGCTCAAATATTTCTTATGAAATCTTTGAGAAATTCTTCCCTCTCATTATTCTAAGAAGTGATACCCTTAAGATACAGCATCATATGTGGCAATGGCAGAGACATACAAAAGAGATACGCAAGCAAAGGCTAAAAGAACTCAGGATCAGACTCTGGTCAGACCAAACACCAGACTGGACACTAAGTTGAGGCACAGTAAGTCAAATGTAGAAGTTATGAGTCCCAGTACTAGAGAGTCTTAGAACACTGAGCACAAAGGGCAGCTTGGCTCATTGTTAGGCAGCACACGCTGAAGTTGGGCTGGAAAGAGGGCATGGGCTGAGTGTGTTTTCAGAGCTTCTGAGCTGCTGGAAACATTTGATTGCTCAATATTACATTGTATTCTCTGTTTTTGCAACTTTAAAGTGTGGATGACTAGACCCTGCAAAGGTCTGAATCTAACCTCTCCTATTAGGTGAAAGCGGCCCTCTGGGCTTTGCAAGGTGGCACTTCTGTGGTTATTGCCAACGGAACCCACCCAAAGGTATCTGGGCATGTCATCACAGACATTGTGGAGGGAAAGAAAGTTGGCACCTTCTTTTCCGAAGTAAAGCCTGCAGGTAAGTAGTTCTTCATAGAGTCCCATGGTCTGTGGATGATAGGTAGCCACACCATGGCCTAGATGAGACTGAAGACTGAGCTCGTCTCTAGGAATAGAGATCACAAAATCAATGTGTTGATATCCTGAATTCTGGTATTGTTTCAAACACTCTTTGTAAAATTGGATTTTGCTTTGCTTCTGTAAAATTTAGCTAACCTGCCCAACTAGGCTTGCTGTTTTCTCTAAAACCACTAATTTAAAGAATATAAGCATCCATTTTCTTAAGAAACATTTGCTAGGCCCATGCTGGATGCCTAGAGATGCAAAGGTGCATAAGATATGATATGTACTCTCAATTGTTCACAAAAATAGAATTGCCATATAATTTACATTCAGAACCGCAAACACATTAGAGAATATAAGCCAAAGTGGAATTGAAAGAACTCTACAAGATGTAAATTATGTTGTTCACTTTAGAAATATAGACGTTTCTTATATTTATGCCTGAGTTAATGTAGTATATTCTTTTGCCATTTTATTGGTCCAAGTGATTCTCTGGGAAACAAGCATACCAAGATACTGAGCATTTGTTCTGTGCACATGCTGGGGTAGCTGTCCATGATCTGGTGTTTGCAAATATTCTTACAGGTCCTACCGTTGAGCAGCAGGGAGAAATGGCTCGATCAGGAGGAAGGATGTTGGCCACTTTGGAACCTGAGCAGGTAATAACCCTAGCTAATAGTTTTGTTGGTTTTCAGAGTGAGTCGTTCTGTAAGGTTTAGTGCACAGTCAAACCTGTCTCCCCTTTCGTTCCTCATGGCCCCACAGAGTTATTCTAGTTACAGGTGTGATTCAGATTTGTTCTGCCTTTGTTCTTTCTCCAAGTTTTATTTTCCCTTTTGTCTTTTGTAGCCTGAGGCCTAAGGTTGCTTTTCATCACTATGATGTTTTGATCAAAAACATCATGGAAATGATGAGACCAAGGAGGCTCCCTAATCCTGCCACATCCCGGGCATGGAAATGGAGAAAAACTGCTTGTCCTAACCCATCTGAATCACCTAACTTACCTATTAGATGCAAGCTCAGGAGCCTGCTCTCTAGTCAGGGTCCTGCCCACAGTGAATTGGCAGACACGATGAGTCTGGAAATGCAAGGCAGTCAGGTGGAAGCTGGGGATTGGCTTCTCAAGGCTTGTGTTGTTAAGAATGGATTTGAGAGTGTATTTAGGTTCTTCAAGGGAGCACTTTGGCCTGAGAAAGAAGAGAATTTAAAATAACTACAAGTAGAGAAAGGGAAGCAAAGGAAGAGCTTAGCTGGTCTCTTAAACCACTTCCTTCTGCTCCTTCAGTAATCACACTCATTTGCCACACTTCTTAATCTAGGTGGGTAAGGATTGGGGTCTCTTCAAGCATCCAGGACTGGGTTTTCTCTCTTTGGCGGAATTCGTTAAATAAACAATTGTGTAAAAGAAAACTTACCTGGGAAATAACTATACAGCCAGTGATTTGAGTATGCGGAGATGGATATATCATGCTGATTCAAAATGCTGGCCCCTTTCTTGGGAACAGATTGTGTCTGTCATTCATCAGGAAGATTAGTAGTGAGAGAGGAAGGGAAAAATGAGGAGAGCCGAGGTGGAGAATGAATGATAGGAGGTAAGGAGATTTCAGTCAATGGTGACCTTGAATTTAGGAGCAAGGCCTGGCTCATTCAGAGGAGTAGGTTTAAAAATATGCTGTGCGTTCTTCTTGGATTAATGTGTTTGCTTGTTTGTTTAATGTTTTACCTTTCTTCCTAGAGAGCAGAGATTATCCATCATCTGGCTGATCTGTTGACGGACCAACGTGATGAGATCCTGTTAGCCAACAAAAAAGACTTGGAGGAGGCAGAGGGTAAAGACCAAGTGATTCGGAGTCAATGTTATGGAGGATTTCGTTTTGGTTTTTGTTCTTTGTTTTACTAATAATTCTTATAGTTTGCCGGAAGACAAGATTGTTATAGAAGAAACTATACATCATACATCATTTTTATTAAGAGTTGCTTGCTAGCATTCATTGGGCTTTTTCAGTTTATACATATCATCTCCAGCTCCTTTCCCAGATACCCTCCAAAGGGCTTTTTCTGTACCCAAGGTCATGAGCCATGTATTCTGTGGCAGTTTCAGGACAAAACAAGACTGAGGACCGCTTCACTTTAGACATTCCACTAATAGCAGCTAACACTTACTGAGGCCTTTCCATGTTGCCAGGCATTGTGCTAAAGGCTTTACAGACAGGATATCATTTTATCTTTATAGCATGGGACCTTTGAGTTAGTTACTATTTATTATCCCTATTTTATAGAGGAGGAAACTGAAGCACAAACAAGTTGTCATATGCCTAAAACCATATGGCCAGTGACAGATCCAGGATTCAAACCCATATGGACTGTGCATATAAAATTGTTGTGGAAGTAGTTTGTGGGGCCTGTGATGAAAGATAGCATATCTCGTAGTTAATTAATCAGTGCATAGGCTGCCCAGAGTTAGCAACAGATGCCATCCACAAATGCCCTAAGGTGCAGATGGTAGAGTGAGTGATATGGCCGAACTCACATTGCAGATAGCTAAATATGTAGAGAGTCAAGTCAGCCCTCAGTCTTTCTCTCCTTCCTAATTCTCTGTATCTCCACCCTAAAAATTGGGGGATGATTTTATGGGGTTTTGAATTTCCTTTTCTCTTAAATAAATGTGCCTTAAATTAAACATCCAGATTAGTGGTGTTCCCTTCAAAGAAACCTTGCAAGGTTCATCAACATTACTTTGATTTCTTAAAATATTTTGTAGCTATTGCTTTGGAACTTCCTTTAGAGTATACATCTGGTCTTTTGAATTTTTGCCGTATTGGAAAGTCATAAAATAGATTTTCAGAAATGGAAGAAATCTTTGATGATAATCTTACCCAGTTGTTTAAAAGTAAAAGAATTAAGATCCACTAAGGTTAAAGCTTTTGCTAAAGGTCAGACAGCTAGTTGTTGGCAGACCTCTGACTTTTGATCCCAGTTATGTCTCTCTGGAAATTCATAAGGACACACAGTGGCTTAAGAACAAAGTCCTGGGTATACATGAGCATGGTGGTCCCCTTTGACTAGGTAAGTCCATTTCAGGAAATGTATCCTAAGAAACTATTTCAAGAAGAGAAGACTGCTCTGTATGCAAAGATTCTTGGAGTAGGGTTATTTATCACCCTGAAGACTGCAAACCTCAGTGTTTAATACATAGGTTTGGTTAAGTGCATTAAGCTATGTTAGCTCAGTGGAGTATTTAGCAGTAATTACAACAATTTTGGCAACATGGAAAACATACATGCATTGTGAGATGGAAAATTGGAATGCAACATTTAATACACTGTGTTTAAAACTTGTTAACACATAGGGAAAAGTGAAGAAAATGGATTGATGTAATTGGTAAAATGATGATACAACTTTTTTTCTTAATATAATATTGGTTCCTTCCCTCCTAAGTGGAAAACTTTTTATCATTTTACCTTGGTGGATGTGACTATAAAAAAGAAAGGGAAGGAAAAAAAAGGGGGGAAATTTTTTATCATCTCATCTCAACATTAACGATAGTAATGATTTGTGGTATGTGTTTCCAGGTGATTTTCCTGGTGTGTATGCATGTGTATTAGGAATATGTGTGTGTGTGTGTAAAGAGAATCACACCATGCGAATGGTTGTATTTAAATTTAAAGAATATGCCATATGTGAAATTATAATAATTCTATTTAAGTTTTTATTTCAAAAGAAAACATCTTTATTGCTTCTGATTATTAAAATAAGTCAGTCATTACAAAAAATTAAAATAGTGCAGAAAGATAGAGATCATCAGCAGATATCTCCGTGTGCACATGCATATATGCAAAATTTGATAAACAGGATCTTACCATGCATGTTTTTTTTGTAGTTTTGCCCTTTTCACAAACTATATCCTGGACAGCTTTCCATATCAGTACGTATAGATCTATTATTTGTAATAACTGCATTGTAGCTCATTGTCTAAATTTTTAAGTTGAATTTGATTCTATTGTAAAAATGCTGTGACAAGTATCCTCATTACGTGCAAGTTTGCTTGTGCACATGACAGATTTCGGGAACTGAAATTGCCGGCACAATGGGTATTGGTGTACGTGCCTTTACATGATGAGCTACCCTACCAAAAGGCCCCTAGAGAAGCTGTATAAGTGACATGTCGTTGTCTTCTCGAGACCCCCTAAGTTCATGTCTGTTCCTAACACAGTGTCGTGTGTTTAGTAAAGCAGCTGCAGCCTGCCCAGAGCTGCTCCTTTATCTTGTGTTCTTCACACCTCTTCAGGGAGACTCGCAGCCCCTCTGCTGAAACGCCTGAGCCTCTCCACATCCAAATTGAACAGCCTGGCCATCGGTCTGCGACAGATTGCAGCCTCCTCACAGGATAGCGTGGGGCGTGTTTTGCGCCGAACCCGAATTGCCAAAAACTTGGAACTAGAACAAGTGACTGTCCCGATTGGAGTCCTGCTGGTCATCTTTGAGTCCCGTCCTGACTGTCTGCCCCAGGTATGTGCCTGCCATTGGGGTAGGAGAAGAGTATGTTTTCAGGATTCGACATAAGTCTCCCAAAGAAAGTTTCCTTTTTTCTCTTTTTTTGGTGAGAAAGTCTTACCTTTTTTCCTCCCCCAAAGATAATTTTTGAGACTTTTCAGGTTGTTCTTAAAGTCATTTATGTTACTGATTCTTCCAGTGATTCCAAAGTAGGTATTCATATGTACATTTTACAGTTGAAGAAACTGAAGCTTATAGAAGTTACTATTCCTATCACTTGTAAAGAGTGGAGCTGGGACTGGAGCCCAGATGAAACTTACATAGCACAATGCAGGAGCACTTTTCCATGTCTTAGCTCACTGGGGCACTTTGTTCTCTGACCACTTCTAACTTCCTGCAAGGTAATTCATCTAGTAGCCGGTTTTGCCCATGTGAAAAAGACCCTTTATTGTTAGTGTCACAGATGGTCTCCTGTAGGTAAATCAGGAAAAAGAACTTTCAGTAGTTCATGCAAACTAGAATGCAACCCTCTTTAAGGAATTTGACATATCACTGTCTGATATTGAGAAACCATGTGTTAAAAGATTTTTTGAAGCAGCCATGCCTTGATTTACAAGGTGGCATTAGAGGGTTGTCCCATTGGTTACCCACTCTTCCAGAAATCTGGGACCATTTTCCCACCATACTGACCAGCAGGATGATACAGCTCTTTCTTTGCACTAGCCTCAAAGTCTCCGAAGTTCTACTTAAAAACAACAGACAAAAAACCAGCACCTCTTTACTGTAGGGCACAGGGTGAGCATGGGAGTCTGACATGCTTTCTGGTGAATACTCCCTGACGTAACCTAAAACCAGCTTGTTCATCAAGGACTCCCATACCATCGGGTCTGTCCTCAAGCCCTGCCTGGTGCTGGCACACTGCCCCCATTGCCCACACTCCTGTTTGCAGAGACACTCCAGTGGAAACTGTAGAACCCTAATCTGCTAGTAGGAATGGGTCCATGACATTTCTCTGCTCCTTTTCATCCATACTAGCTGATACTTCACATGGAGAAAGATTCTTCTTTAGCCAGCTACAGCTGAGGTTCCTCCCCTGGGATCTTATCTCTGGATGGCATCACAGAATCCATGTATTCGAAAAGTTGTATGCAGCCTGGTGTGCTAGTGCATTTAAATAGAGAAGGTTTACATTAATTTTATAAGGGGTCCTTGAGCAACAAGAACAAAAAAGGATTAAGAACTAATCGAGATTAACATGTTCAGGCAAGGTTTTTAGTAGTTTCTTTTATTACATTATAAAAATGGGAAGATTTTTATTCATCCCAAAAACATTCAGAAAGTTAAGCTTCAGGCCTTGGATGATCAAGTCATTAGCTCTTTGCTCTAAGAGGATAGCTAACCCTCCTCCTGGGTGGCCTGCTTTTCACTGGAGTATCTCGGTGGTATGAGAGTCCTTGATGAACAAGCTGGTTTTAGGGCGTGTCAGACTCCCATGCTCATCTTATGCGCCCTGTTTGTGCTCCTTTCCCAGCAGTCTCTGCCACAGCTTGTCTGGGGGCTGGCAGGAGCTCTGGTCTTCTCCAGGTTCTCAGCACCAGGCATTTAGAACTCTCAGAACAGTGACAGGGCCAGAGTAGGTGTACATTTCACAGTTGGAAATGCCACCCAGCTTCAGCCAGAGGCAGCCGAGCTGCCTGTCCTCCACCATGGCCAGAGTGGGGACAGGGCCATGTGACGCCGGCCACTTAGGTTACTTTGCTAATGGTGCTGAGCAAGCCGTACAGTTTAGTTCCTGAGATCGGGTGCTTTGGCTCTGGAGTCAAGGCTTCTAGCCCTGCCAATTATAAGCTATGTGTCTTTGGGGAGTCACCAACTTCTCTGGGCTTCAGTGTCCTTATCTGCAAAGCAGGGGATGAAACAAGTATTTAATTCACTGGAGTGTTGGAGGATTAAACGGATTAGGCCTTATAAGTGATGAGCACAGTGCTTGGCATAGGAGGCGTGCTCAGTGAGTGTTAACTGTTCCAGTGATTGCTTTTTCCCTTTGGCTAACTGCTCCCCTCTTTGATCTGCAGGTGGCAGCCTTGGCTATTGCAAGTGGTAACGGCTTGCTACTCAAAGGAGGGAAGGAGGCCACACACAGCAATCGAATTCTTCACCTTTTGGCCCAAGAGGCCCTATCAATCCACGGAGTCAAAGAGGCCATACAGCTGGTAGGTCCTTGGGAATGAGCCGCATCAGGCCCAGAATGCCAGGTCAGGTGTTCGGGTGTTTGAAGCAAAGCTTAGGTCACCTAAGTCCAAGCCACTTGTACAAGCAAGCTTGACTTGTAGAGCGGCAGGTCCTGTGCACCTGCTGACATTGGATGATGCCAGAGGCTTCCTTTGCCCAGGTGGGCCTTCCCTGGCTTGGAAAGGCCGCTCGCATACAGCTGTGTCCTGGCACTGTGATTTACAAGAATGCCTGTTAGCTCTTCATTCTTGGGGCATACCCATCTAGAGTATGAGGTCAGGGCTCTGCTCACTGGCAGAGTGATTTAGGGCAAGGCAGATGAAACACATGAAGCCATTATGCAGCATGTGAGTATGAGGTCATGCTATTATCACTATTGTTATTGTGCTCAATCGTCTCACTCTCCTCAACCAGCAAGTGGAGTCATTAAACTAGACCATAATAGCCAGAGGTTACTGAGCACCTGCTGTAGGCAAGGCAGCTTCCATCTATTGCCTCATTCAGTCCTCAAAACAACCATAGCGGGAAGATACCGTTAGTATTAGGGGAAAAACAGGCTCAGTGCTAAAAGTCACTCCCCTAAAATCCCACACTCTGTGTGTGTTAGAGTATAGATTTGAACCTCAGCTAACTCCAGAGCCTTCTCTTTTTGCATTGAGGCCCACTTACTCCAACATGGCAGGATTCTGCTGGCTGCTGGGACAGTGTGTATAAACCCACTGCATTATATGCTCACTGACAAGAATTGGATTTTTTCTTATGGCAATGTTAGGGGTGGAAAGGGCACAGATTTTAGGGATTCAAATCCCAGCTCTACCACATCCTAGCTTAATTAGATAGGTCTCCTTCCAGCCCTCTTCCTACTGCTGTATCACATCCATACAGTAAAGTATGCAGATCTTTTGTGAACAACTCTATGACTTTTTCCATGGATCCACGTACACACATACGTAATCACCAGCCATATCCAGCTGTAGAACGTTTGCAGCACCCCAGAAGGTCCCTGTGCCCTTCCTAATCAGTATGCTTCCTCATAGCCACTTCTTTACTTCTTTCACATTCAATCTGTTTAGCTTATTCTTGAACTTCATTATAAATGGAATCATACAAAATACACTCATTTGTGTTGTTAGGGTTTTTTTTATTATTTATTTATTAGAGAAATAGACAGCAGGGGGGGAGGGGCAGAGGAAGAGGGAGAAGCAGGTTCCCTGCTGAGCAGGGAGCCCGATGCAGGGCCTCGATCCCTGAGATCATGACCTGAGCTGAAGGTAGGTGCTTAACCGACTGAGCCACCCAGGCACCCCCACTCTTTTGTGTTGTATTTTTTTTGTTCATCTTTATGTCTGTGAAGGTCATCCATGATGTTACTTACCTCCAGCCGTCGTTTTTCTCTTTTTTATAACCATGTGATATTCCATTTATATGTATATGCTACACTTCATCCTTTCTTCTGTTGGCCAACTTTTGGGTTGTTTCTGGTTCGGGGCTACACAGAATAAAGTTGCTATGAAAATTCTCGTACGTATGTATTTGTATTTCTTTTGTAAGTAACGTGACCATATGGGTGAAATTAAAAATCAAGAGGAGGGAAAAAGGCCATCACCCTAGTGTCCTGACACAAGTGTTTCATCCCAGGGTAGAAGTGGTCAGTAGCACTTGCGGGTGCTGCTACTTTGTATTTTGTGAGGTCACATGTCATTTTTGTTTTTATTCTGTACCTCATCAGGTGAATACCAGAGAAGAAGTGGAAGATCTTTGTCGCCTAGACAAAATGATAGATCTGATCATTCCACGTGGCTCTTCCCAGCTGGTCAGAGATATCCAGAAAGCTGCTAAGGGAATCCCAGTGATGGGGCACAGTGAGGGGATCTGCCACATGTATGTGGATTCAGAGGCCAGCGTCGATAAAGTCACCAGACTGGGTGAGCCAGATGGGGCCCCTGCTGTGTGCAGGCAAGATATTTATCAGATCCTGTGTGGCTCGGGAGCATGTTACTAGAAACAGTTCTTTGTCTTCCTTCTTTCAGTCCGAGACTCTAAATGTGAATATCCAGCTGCCTGTAATGCTTTGGAGACTCTGTTAATCCACCGAGATCTGCTGAGAACTCCATTATTTGACCAGATCATTGACATGCTGAGAGTGGAACAGGTATGACAAGTTCCAGGACTCCTACGTCACTTCCTGTCTTCCATTTTGAGATTTAGAAGCCTGTGGGATTAGACCAGGAGCAAGTGCCATACCATTTAAGGCAATTTAAGAAGCAGTATTTTTGAGCATTTACTGTGTACAGAGTTTTGTGCTAAGTACACGGAGAGTAAGAGACATCCTTGCCTTGTCACATACTCAGATAGCTGTATTACAAAGTAGAATGTGGTAAGTGCTAAGAGAGGTCAAAGATAAGACGTGGCAGTCCTGTTTCTGGGAACCTCTTATTCAGGCAGCATAGTTTAAAGTTTGTTTCTGAGCACACATTCCTGTTTGGATTTGATTTGAAAAAATTGTGCAGAAATGTTTTCAAACAGAGATTTATATGTGTCCAACCCTCCACCAGTGTCTTCAATTACCGATATTAATGTACTTCATACAATGATATTTGGGAGTCAACAATTTGTATAATGTTTTCTCTGGATTATTTTATTACCATTTTGTTGAGGTTGTAAAAACCAGTGCCGGTAAGTTTCAGACAAATGTATGTTCCATCTTAAATTACTAATTGCAAAAGAATAGAGGCTCTCCAGGCAAAAATGGACAATCTTAAGTTTTCTGGCAGAACACATTGTAAACTTTAACATCTGATGTCATGGCACCCTTTCATAATTACATAAACAAGCACAGCATTTAGAGAAAGTGACTGCTGGCCTTGGTTGCTTTGATCCTGTATGTATCTTTTTGCTTTCATCCTTTAGCTGGAAAGGAAGGCTCAGTTCAGCTTATAGATGGGTGGGCACGGTCCCAATGAGAACCTGAAAGGATTGTTTTGAAAATGAAAATGCACCCCACAAATTAAAATGGAGTTCGCTCACATGATCACTCATGTTTAGGGCCTTCCTTGACACTGTTGGCCTATTTGATGGCCACCTATGTATGCCAAACACCACACTGGACTGGACTAGACAGGAGGAAAATTTTCCTTTAGCAGCCAGAAATAAACCTCCCAGTCCTGATTCAGACAAACCCATGATATCCTTAGTTATCATCAAGATTGCCTTGAAATTCTTTAAATCAAAATCAGTCAATATGTGTACTTCATGTAACACTTTTGTGTTGCAGGAAGTAAATCAGCAGAGTGACTTGCCCAGAGCAGGGCTCAGGGATGGGTTTCCTGTCCCTGAGGAGCATGGTTGGACCCCAGGCCTGGAGGAAGCGGGGTCCCAGGTAAAAGGGCCTCGGGAACAACAAGAACAGGACAAACACTGCTTGTTATAACTTAAATTCCTCCAGCCAGGAGCACGATTAGCCCCAGAGTCTCTTGCTGAGCTGAGCCTCGAGGTGGGGCCTGACTGACAAAAGTTGGAAGTCTGACAGGTAACCGCAGGTTGAGGTGGCTACCAGCTAAATACTCTTTTCCTCTGAAGCACACCTAGGACTTCTCTGGAGGGAAGGGAGTAGAAATATATATGAGCCATCTCCCCCTTTCCATGTGAGTCCATGTCTGGGTCCCCTCTGCAGGGGATGGGATTTATGTAGTCAAGTGTTCATTTCAGCAAGATGCCAGCAGTCAAGGGCTTATGTCGATAGCCTGTTAAATGCCTTGCACATTCTTAACATTCAGAGGCTTCCTGCTTAAATCCCTGTTCAAGTTTTACTGAGGGCCCCTGGCCGGCAAGTGGCCAGTCGGCGTTTTCAAAAGCGGAGCATCCTGGAGGGTCGTGGGCTGCTTCTGAAAGGAAGGCAGGGCTGGTTTAATCGTCTGTGCTGCAGCAGCCACAGGCTCCTCACCTTCAGGCTCATCCGGCTGTTTGGTCCTAGAGGAAGAAGTGCGAGCTGGCTTCCTGCTGCCGGGTTTATATTGTCACCGCTCGACTTCCTCTGTTCCAGGTGAAAATTCACGCAGGCCCCAAGTTCGCCTCCTACCTGACCTTCAGCCCCTCTGAAGTGAAGTCCCTCCGAACGGAGTATGGGGACCTGGAATTGTGCATTGAAGTGGTGGACAGCGTCCAGGAGGCCATCGACCACATCCACAAGTATGGCAGCTCGCACACAGATGTCATCGTCACGGAAAATGGTCAGTGCGCACGTGCCTCAGGCCTACGGCACCTGCCCTTTTCCACCCTGGTCTCCATGGGGTCCTGCTCCTCTCAGCCCCTCTGGCTGCAGGAAAACATAGTCCGAATGGGCTAATGGTAATGCCTGGCATCGGTTGTGTTTGTGGGTTCACTGAGTGCTCTCCCATCTGCTGCCTCATTGTACTGTCACTGCGGCCCCGGGGGAGGAGGCAGGGAAGAGATGGTTAGCTACACTCTGGAGATGACTCACTCTGTGCCACAGGGATTACCATTTAATCCGGACAACAGTCCCTCCAGGCTATTGGAATAAACCCATTTACAGCTGAGGAAACCCAGGCTCAGGAGGTTGAGGGCAGAAGCAGCTCTCCACACACATTTATTCACCGCACAGATATGTACCGATAAACCACCGAGCTGTCAGGCACTGGAGGCCCAGCAGGACAGGCAGCCAGCATGGCCCCTCAAGGGATCTGCAGACGGTTTATCGGGGAATCACAACACCACCAATAATAATAGCTAACGTTTACTGAGCACTTACGTGTGCTAGGCTCTGGGGTGAGTGCTCTATGGATGTCAAGTCCTTTTATCCTCCACACAACCCTGTGAACTAGGTAATATTGTCAGTCCCCATTTTGCTCAAGCACAGAGAGGTTCATAAACCTGCCCAAGGTCACCTAGCTAGTGGGTATGGAATTGGAGTTCAGACTTAGGCATTCTGGTTCTGGAGCCTTATAAAGAGATAATATAGTCAGGCCATTGCAGCATCAAGGGTATGTCTACAGGGGGAGATTTGGATTCCAACCCAGTCTTTCCCAGGCAACTACTCTTTCCATAACAGGGACTGAGGAAGCTGGTTAGCCTTCTTCCTCTTCAGATTTTTCACAAGTCTGCATGTTTAATATGTAGGGAAGCTCTTCAGGGGCCTGGGCTCAGCCCTGGTCAGCCACCAGTGTGTGACTGGAAGGAGGGATATTTTCCCTGGGTCGCCCTAACTCAGTGTCTTCTCTTTATGCTGCAGAGAAAGCAGCAGAGTTCTTTCTCCAGCACGTAGATAGTGCCTGTGTGTTCTGGAACGCCAGCACCCGCTTCTCTGATGGCTACCGCTTCGGACTGGGTAAGAAAGATTCTGGTCAGGAGAAAAAGAGGTCCCTTTGTGAATCACTGTGTGGTCCAAGGAGCATGGTGAGGGTGGAGGAGACACATGAAGTTACATGCTTGATTAAGATAGAAGAGTTGTGGGAGGGTAGTTGATGAGAGAGAATCCTCAGAGCAACCTTGGGCAGGGAGAAGTCCTGTGCTCTAAGCATTTTGTGTATTAAGAAGGTAGGTGCTTGTTGTTTTTTTTCCATAGATCTTTGAGATTCAGAGAAGTGAAGTAATTTGCCCAAAGCCCCCCAGCTGTCTCTCAGACCCACACTTACACAGGGCCAGAGCCTGGGTTGCTCCCACTACAGGACGGGCAGAGCACAGCATGTCTACTGCACAGGTCGTGACAGGCGTGCGTGCTGAGGTCCCTCGGGAGCTGTTGCAGACTCACTTCTTCAAAGAGAAAGCCAGGTTGCCTGAGAGGAGGGATTCCCCATGAGGACAGGACAAAAGAAGGTTTTAATACGTATGCTGGGCTTAAATAGGCAGCATCAAAAACAAACAGGTAAGCCCAGAGGTGCAAGGTTTATTTCTAAAGCACACCTTTGAAATAAAAAGCTTCAGAAAAGCACCCTTAAAAAAAAGAAAGACCTCCCTTCTCCCCTTCCATCATTAGAAATACAATCTCCAGGGGCACCTGGCTAGCTCAGGTGGAGCATACAACTCTTGATCTCAGGGTTGTCAGTTTGAGCCCCATGTTGGGTGTAGAGCTTACTTAAAAGTAAAATCTTAAAAAAAAGAAAGAAAGAAAATCTCTATTCCCCAGTGTGGAGATTTTTCAGACAGTCCCTCGTTTTCAGGGGTACCATTATAAAGAGCACCAATAGGTATTTATGACACATCTGAGAATTCTTTCAACCACTTAAGACATTTTAAAACTCTGAACTTTTGAATAGATCTGCCTAGAGAATAGTTCTCACTGAATTAGTAAAGGTTGTTAAAGAGAATTTTACTCAGTTATTCTTGGTCATTAGACTCTTTACTGTTGGTTACCTGTTTGTTATGTTGGGGTTTTGATTTAATTGTCACATCCCTTGCATTGATTTTTGTCTTTCATGTTGTTGAAGAAGAAATAGCAGCGTACTTTTAAGGGCTGAGTTACCTAGCTTTCAAGCAAAAGTCCAGGATGGGGGAAGAGCAAAAGACCACTCCATTGTCTTTGCATCACGTGCTCAGAGCAAATGCTCAAACTCTGGCTGAGTTAAATTCCTATGAAGTGCATTAATAACAGTGACAGATGGTGTTTATTGAGCACTTACATATTCCCAGCACTGTGCTAAGTGTATCACATGCATTGTCTCACTTAGTTCTACATGATGGGTTCTGTTCTTTTCCTCATTTTCCACATGAACTGAAGCACGGGAGATGGTTTGGCCATGTGCCCAAAGTCATGTGGTCCCTATGCTATCAAACCGGAATTAGAATCTGGTGGTCACACTCCCCTTGCCAACCACTACTATCCAGCATGGCCCCACTTGGGCCTCTGCCCTGCTGGTCTCTGCCTGCAGCGTCTCTCCACCTGCCCCTCCACTGGCCGGATCCTTGTCATTGTTCAGGGTTCAGAGGAAAGGCCCTTCCTCAGGGAGGCTCTCCCTAACCACTCTACCAGTGGGGTGTCCCCCCGACCCACGCAGTCTGTCCCAGCACCCTTCCCTGCACTCCCATCACCACATGAAATTATTTGCTGAACTGTTCTTTGACTGCCTTGCCCACAGAAGTATGAGGTCCAAGAAAACACGACCTTGCATAGGTTATTCACCACTGCCTCCCCAGGGCCCAGTGTGGTGCCTCTTACATAGTACATGCTTAGTAAAGTTGTGACAGACAAGGGAACCCTGCCTCCACTATATACCATGCAGAACATCCAGACAGACCCAGGAAAACCCCTAACGCCCCAAGTCTAAGCTTAGAGCAAGAGGGAAGGAAAATGAACTGACCCCTTTTCATGTATTCAGTAACTGTCTAGTGAGTGCCTCTGTGCTAAGAATTCTGGAGGATACTGAGAACATGTCCCAGCCCTTCCATTCTGGGACTTAGAGAATATTTGAGGAGATGAACCTCAATACTAAACATTGTTATATACCTCAAAAAAATGCCTGAATGTCAAATTATGATACACAGTCTAGACACTAAGCAGATATCAGCCAGCACTCCTAGCATTATCAAAATGCATTTGGGATAAGAGTGCAGAGGAGAGCCCACACATCGTGCTTCATTAGAAGAAGGGGGCTTGTCATGATTCATAGCGACCGGAGGACACATTGATGGGGACCGTGGAACCCAAGCTGATCTGGGGAGGATGGAGCAGGAGTGGGCAGGATGAGAGGGTGCCACGTGGGGAGAAGGAAGAGCTGTGGGTCTGGTGGGTGGACAGGAAGCAGGGCTGGGAAAACCCGCATCATCATCCATGCTTTTTCTCAGGAGCCGAAGTGGGCATCAGCACATCGAGGATCCACGCACGGGGACCGGTAGGACTTGAGGGACTGCTCACTACTAAGTGGCTGCTGCGAGGGCAGGACCACGTGGTCTCAGATTTCTCAGAGCATGGCAGTTTAAAATACCTTCACGAGAACCTCCCTGTGCCTCAGAGAAATACCAACTGAAAGCATTCCAAGAAGAGCAGGGAAAGATTCAAGAGGTCTTCACAGTTAAACTTGTCTTAAGAATCTCAGGGGATGAGCCAGGTCTCATCTCCCACTTCTGGAAGGGTCTGCCTGTTGGAAAGTGCACCGAGATGCTTCTGGGCTCCATTTGGCTACACCAGTCTTGGCTAATGTGCATATTCCAATTCACGCTTCTCTTTCATTGTTAGAAAATAATCGCTATGAATGGGGACTTTGCTTAATTGCTGCAGTTAGGGACTTCGCTTCACACAGTCCAGTTCCCCTCATGATAGAAACAGAAAGGTGCAGCTTCCCCACAAAAAAGCCAATGGGAAAATCATGGACGCTTTTACCTTTTTATCACCTCAGTGAGGTAACGTCTCCCCTGACGTTTGGTTGGCACTAGGGCCCATCACACCTAATCTGTCTTTCCACATTTCATCTCTTTTTGCTCACACTCATCTTCAAAAAGGAAAGGTTTGGAATTTAGAAGAGGGGCAGCTCTTCTTTTTAGCATTCTCATCAGAAACAGTCACAAAAATGGACTGAATCATTCCCACTGGGAAGATTGACCTTTTATATTTATTGTGGAGTAAAGATAAAGCAGCATTTCAGATGCTCGTGCCTCTCCAGACCCAGAAGATTCGGCATGACCCGGGATGCAGTTGGAACCTGGAGCTGCGAGTCCCAGGATGAAGTATCTACAGCAATTATGCTTGAAATTTTTATATAAATTATTTTGTCATCCTACCCTTTTCTTCCAAAACAAAAATTAGAGGGTTATTTTAATACTTTGGATTCTTCCCCCTTTTTGAGAAATAAAGTTCTTATGAAAAGCCTGTGTGCGTGGTTAAAGTCCGCACCCTCGCTTGCCCTGGCCCTCTTCTTCCTCCGCCCTCCCTGTGGCCCGCACACCCGCTTTGACACACTGGCTCTTCCCGGAATGCTGGTTGGGGAGAGCATCTGTCTGCCGTGTGTGTCCATGGAGGCAGCACAGGCAGATCCCACGGGACGGACCCAGACCGAGAGGAGAGGAAAACAGGAGATTGGGCCCCAGGAACGTAAGGACCGAGAGCATGGTGACGGAGTGAGGTCAGCGGGTATGGACAGCATGAGCGAGCCGCCACTCGGACGGCCGTGGCCCCAGTCCCGATATCCTTAGTTCACTTCGGAAGACCCTCCCTCCCTCCAACTCCTGTTTTAGGGTCCCTGGTGCCCAACAGTCTGCAGTTGAAAGCTTTCTTGTCTCGTGGGGGCCCTTGCAAAGAGAGAAGCGCTCACTGACATGCTGCTGCTTATCCTCTGAGGATGTTTTATGAGCACAAGAATCATGGTGTCGTGTGGAACATGTTCTCAGGCCGGCTCCCAACTCTCCCTCTCATCCAGAGCCTTACATGGTCCGGCAAGCCACCCTGCCCGCCCTGCCCTCAGAATGGGGAATTCTGGCATAGCTTGCCTGAAAAGGCAATAAACAAAGTCCTGCCGGAAGCTGTATGGCAAATACCACAATCAGCTCCCAAGCAGACAACAAATACCCCTTGGAGTCGAAAATAGAAAGTGACCCAAGAAGGCCGGGGCCCTTGGGGAAGACTCGGCTGAGGAGGCAGGCCTGGATCCGGGCCCTGAGCACAATGAGTCACAGGAGTAAGGAGTGGGCCCAGCATTCGGGCAGGGGACTGGCCCAGGCAGAAGTCCAGAGGTGGGGATGAAACAAGTCTGTGGAGCAGTGAACACACCAGTGCAGGGCAGAAGTTCGTGTGGGTAAACAGGAAGGTGTTACATCCCAGACAGCTGATTGTGGTAGAATCCCACGGGAGCCACCCTTCTTGGGGCAGGGGATGGGAATGGGGTTTGGGCTGGAAAACACAGCTAAAGCTCACTCATCCCACAAGGCCATTCCCCTGTAGCAACCTCAGGTTTAGTCCTTTTCTACAGAGGACTGTAGGGCCATTGGCATTCTTTATTTTTCCACCACAAGTGAAGAGATCCCCAAAGGAGGGTCAGAAGGCAGCCATTGCCTTGTAAGTATCCCCACCCAGGCAGTCTTCAGTACTTACTGGTTTGTCCCACAGGAAGGGGGCTTTTTATTCTGAAATCCCTCCTGTGGTCCTGCCCTTTTCCTAGCTACCAACTCTGGACAACAGACTGTTGAACCAGCCAATCCAGAAGCTCCCACCTCCTCCACCAAGGGGGAAAAAAAGCTCTCCGGGATATGTAAGACAACAAACGTTCTTCAAGCCAAGTTTACTTGAGTTTAGGTTTTCTGTTACAGCCAAAAGTATGTCAGTGATACAGTATATACATACGTTATGGGGCCATTTAGAAAAGTATTCATATGGGGGCCCCTGGGTGGCTCAGTTGGTTAAGTGTCTGCCTTGAGCTCAGGTCGTGGGATCTCGAGCCCCACATCCTGGCTTCCTGCTCAGTGGGGAGCCTGCTTCTCCGTCTCCCTCTGCCTCTCTCTCTGCTTGTGCGCTGCGCTCTCTTGCGCTCTCTCTCTTGTTCTCAAATAAATAAATTCCTAAAAAAAGTATTTGTATGGAAAGAAAGGTGGGCAGCCAAGGACTAGATTATAATAGGTGTTATTTGCTCTATATCCCTAATGTTGTGGAACCATCTCTCCTGTGTTTTGCAAGTAATCCCAGCCTCTGTGATTCAGGGAAGGTTATGCTGATCACCCCCCTACCGCACTATTTTTAGTGGTAGTCACATGACTCGGCTCTGATAAGTCAGAGTGCTTTGTTTGCCTGCTTACTGTGACTGCTTCAAGGCTGGGCATACGATGATTTAAACTTGGCCAAATGGCACACTAGTAGAACTAAATTTTTACTGCAGTTATTAGGAGAAACAAACTGTCCTCCTCTTTCCACATAGAAGTATCCAGCACAGAGGAAAGGGAGCCAGGGGATATATACAGACTTTGCCCGCCTGGCTCCATCAGTGCCTGAACTGGACTGGTAGGCTGGACTCCATTGTTTTCCTTTTTTGCTTAAGCTAGTTTGAATTTGGTTGAGTTTTGAGTTCTATCCCCTCCATCATAGAAGACTCTGGATAACATACCTGTGTTCAATTGTCTGCTCTGCCACTTACTAAACAAGTGACTTTGGGCAAGTTACTTAGGTTCTGGGAGCTTCAGTTTCCTCCTGGGAACATTAATATCTCCATCCTAAGTGGTAACATAAATGCTTGGCACGGCATGGGCACATGGCAAGGACTCTGTAGGGGCGGGATGGTCATTTGCTGTGATTTTTCAGGTGCCCAGGTGTGTGCTTGGTTCCGTACTCCACAAGAAAACAGTTTTCTCCTGTTATTCATGAGGCAGTTTTCAGAAGCCAGATTTTCCCATCCCAGCTTCATCTGGTCACCAGAAGCCCAGCTTTGCCCTCTGCAGAGCACTGAGCCTGAGATCAAACATTTCAGCACTTAGAGCGTGTGGGCAGCTGCTACTGAAAAGGGAGTGAGCAGTAGAGACCTTATTTGGGGTCTGGGAAAGAGAAGGTGGACCCAGGTGAGCATCACGCTCTGCCTGAAAGAAGAGGTGGTCCTGGTTTGGCTGAGGGGAGCAGGCCTGCTCTACGTAGAGGGTGGGAGCAAAGCAAGACTTTGGGTCTCCAGATACTTAACTAACATGAGCTCTGCAGAACAGCACAGAATACGTGCGGTGTCTGTGCACTTCTGAACTAGAAATTCATTTCTCAACCTCCCAGCGAATGCAAAGAGTTGGCATATTTAGATGAATCCTCTGGCAATCTCATCTGGCTAAGGCTTTACATCTAATCAAGTCTCTTTTTTGACTCGAAGCAGTTGACGTGATTACTCCTCACTTCTGCCTCTCAAATGTACGTGGAACAGAGTATTTCTGGGTAGCATTTTGTGCCCTGTAAGGATAGTGACCATGAGGCCGCAACTGGGGAGTGTTATCAGGTACAAGTCACAGAACCCTCAGTTCAAAGTAGTTTAACAAAAGAAAGGGTATTTATCGGGTTACATAACTGAGGAAATCCAGATGCATAGTTCAGACATGATTTGATGCGGGCTTGGCTCCCGTTCTCTGCAGATCTCTATAAATCAGTGGTTTCCAAACTTGAGAATCTCAGAATCACCGGCAGGGTTATTAGAATAGATTGCTGATTCAGTAGGTCGGGGATAGGGGCTGAGAATTTGCATTTCTAATAAATTTCCAGCTGCCGCCACCAATCCAAAAACCACACTTTGAGCATGACGGTTCTAGAGGTCCACTGGCAGCAAAGCTGTCCACGTTGTGGGTTGGATGATGGGAGGGTGTCAGATAAAACTACCATCAGACAGAAGTTCTATGCTCCACTCTTATTAAACTGGCCTGAATCAATCACTGTAGTAAATGTAGAAATTGAGTTGCATTGTCCCAGGAAATGCAAACAGCTAGGGCTTGAACATGATAGAAGTTCATTTTTGTGTCTGGTAAGAAGAGGTCTTGGAGGTAGGCCTCCCAGGGCTGAGGCCAAGGCTCCATGATGTCATCAGGCAGGTGGGCTCCTTTTGGTTTCTGCTCTCCCATCCTAGGGTAAGGCCCTCATCCCTGTGATAGTGATCTCCCTACCGTCAGGACCATGTTCCAGAACCACAGGCAAAGGAGTACGTGCCAGCTGCCTTGTCCACGCGACTTTTGGGAAGGCCCATCCAACTGCTCGTCCAGAACTGGCTCGTGACGCCCCTCCTCACTTCTACAAGGAATCTGGGGCATGTGACTTTTTTATCTGGCCATATTGTAGCTCTAAGAAGGAGTCTATTGGTAAGGGAGAAGAGAAATTGGGTAGGGGAAGAAAATTATTCTGATTCACGGAGATGGGAGGGGGATCCATTCACCTGCACAACATGGCTTCTATGGAGGAGCCGTTTCGTGCAGCCACATGGAGAACTCCAGCTATAAGGGAGGTTGAGAAATACAGCTTCACAGTTGGGCACACTCCTCCCTGAACAAAAATCAGGATCCTTTTCACAAGGAAGGAAAAATGATAAACATTGGGTAAGCTGCTAGCACTGTTTGCCACGATTACCCTAAACCCCCTCTAAAGACTAGCTTTTTCTAGAAACCCCCTTGTTCTCTTGAGCTCATTGATGGGTTTTGTAAGTCGGGTTTGGGGGAAGGCTGTGGGAAAGCCGAATTGCTCTGTAGGAGATGGAGAAAAGGCAAACCTCCTGGGCACCTCTGGAGAGGAGGTGGGAAGTTAGAGTTGCCCTAGGCAGAGGGGACAGACTGAGGATCTGCAGGAAATTAGGCTGGAGAAAGCTAGTCCACCAAAGTGTAAAAAAAGCCATCTGTTTGTAAACTGATGGCTCCATGGGGCTAATTCTCTTGGAGGTTCTTGAATTTTAGAAAAAGGCAACTGTCACAGTAACAGTTATTCCAAAGGATTAGCCAGTGCCGTATTGGAAAGAGCTTGCATCTGAGAGTCATACTGGCCTGCATCGCTGTCTATAAATTGTGTGAACTTAACAGACTTACTTTTACCAAAATGGGCCTCAATGTCCGTATTTGGAAAAAGTAGACGACTAACACCTACCTGTCGGGAGAGATTCAGGTAAGGGAGTGAACACTCAGCTCAGGGAAGGAGCTCCATCAGCATTAGCCACAATTAGCAATAGGGCCCCTCCTGGTATGTCCATCTTTATATTCCCCAGTGGCCCAGCTAGGAGCAATGCCTACAGGTACTCGCTGACCACCTGGTGAAACAGACCACTTTGGCAGAGTTACGGATGTGGCAGGGGGCAGGGGAGAGGAGTGCCTTCTCTGAGACCCTTGGGCCATTAGGGACTTGGTGTGAGGGTGGCAGCCTAAAACGATCACACATCTTTGCTG